GAGGGGCCTCAGAGGGGCCGCCTGCCCTGTGCACAGGCCCTCCTCACGGCACCCCAAGCTCAGCCAGAACCCCTCTTCCATGACCAGCCCTCGGGGGCCGGCGGGGTCCCCTGCTGCCCCTGGGACCGGGGAGCCCCCGCCCGTGTCAGAGTGACCCGGTCATTCCGGACCTCTGCCAGGATGGCTGTCCTCTCAGGGGCCCCGCCTCCTCGGTCGGCCCTGTCCGCGTCACAACAGGGGAGCGACCCAGCACGCAGGCCTGGCACGCACTGAGAGCCTGGCAGGGCAGGGGCGTGACAGAGAGGGGATACCGGGAAGAACCTGGTATTTCAGAAATCTCCGAAGGACCAGCGTAACAGCTGTAGGGAAAATCGGAGGCGGCCGGGCTTTTCTGTCCGGAAGCAGCTGCCGGTTTCATTTCGGTGTTTGGCCTGTGGCCGCGCTGGGGGGGGCTCCTCCCGCCCGGGTGCGGGGCCTCCGGCCCTGAGCCGCCGCCGTCTCCCGTGCTGAGTGGTAACAGTCACTTTGATTGATTCCTTCCACAGCTTTAATTTAGCAAACTTTTATAAGACGTTCACTGAATGCAAAGTGCTCTGAGCCATTCCTGTATGGGTGCCGGGAGGGAGCGGAGGAGCAGGTGGGTGAAGCGTCTTGCTCCGGCCACACCGCCAGCAAGACTGCGCCCCAGGGCGTCCCCTGCCCTGCCTGTGACCGCGGGGCACACCTCCTCAGGGCAGCCGCTCTCCGGGTGCTGGGCACAGGGCCGCTGGCACCCGTAGGCACCTGTCACCGAGGGCGGTGAAGGAGTGAGTGGGCGAGGCCGTAGGCGGGGCGTCTCTGGTCAGTCCCCGTGGGGCCCCGGGGCCAGGGCAGAGGTCAGCCCAGCGCCCTCGGCCCTCGCTGCGCCCCCAGGACCGGGACTTGGAGCCGCTGCGGCCGGGAGCGCCCATCTCCCAGACGTTCGGCGGCGAGGACGTGCTCCACGAGGGCCAGGCCGCCGTGTACCCCGTGTTCGTCAACGAGGACGCCCACTACGGGAAGGGCATTGCCTTCCTCCTGACCGAGAGGCTCACGCTGTCTGTGCCCGCCCTGCCCGCGCCCGCCCCAGCCCGGCCCCCGCCCGGCCCCCTAACCCCGCACCCTGCCCGGCCCCCTAACCCTGGCCCCCCCGCCCGGCCCCTAACCCCGGCCCCCTAACCCCACACCCCACCCGGCTCCCTAACCCCAGCCCCCTAACCCCGGCCCCCTAACCCCAGCCCCCCCGCCCGGCCCCTAACCCCGGCCCCCTAACCCCAACCCCCCCGCCCGGCCCCTAACCCCGGCCCCCTAACCCCGGCCCCCCTGCCCGGCCCCTAACCCCAGCCCCCTAACCCCGGACCCCTAACCAAGGACCCCCGTCCGGCCCCTAACCCCGGCCCCCTAACCCCGGCCCCCCCGCCCGGCCCCTAACCCCGGCCCCCTAACCCCGGCCCCCCTGCCCGGCCCCTAACCCCAGCCCCCTAACCCCGGACCCCTAACCAAGGACCCCCGTCCGGCCCCTAACCCCGGCCCCCTAACCCCGGCCCCCCCGCCCGGCCCCTAACCCCAGCCCCCCCCGCCCGGCCCCTAACCCCGGCCCCCTAACCCCACACCCCACCCGGCCCCCTAACCCCAGCCCCCTAACCCCGGCCCCTAACCCCGGCCCCCTAACCCCGGCCCCCCCGCCCGGCCCCTAACCCCGGCCCCCTAACCCCGGCCCCCCCGCCCGGCCCCTAACCCCGGCCCCCTAACCCTGGCCCCCCCGCCCGGCCCCTAACCCCGGCCCCCTAACCCCACACCCCACCCGGCCCCCTAACCCCGGCCCCCCCGCCCGGCCCCTAACCCCGGCCCCCTAACCCCGGCCCCCTAACCCCACACCCGCCTGGCCCCCTAACCCCGCACCCCGCACCCCCTAACCCCGGCCCCCTAACCCTGCCCGGCCCCCCCCCCAACCCCGGCCCCCGCCCGGCCCCAGGCCTCCCGCCTGAGGCGTGATCCCCGCTCAGAGGCCCCCTTGCCACCTTCTGTATCCCATGACCCTTGCCACACACCCACCTCCGTGCCTCAGTTTCCCTTCTATAAAGTGGCAGGCTCAGGGGGCCGTGGCTGCCTCCGTCTGTGGTGCCTCTCTGTGGCCTCAGGATCTGGGCAGGTCCGGCCCCCTGTGGCCTCGGCCACGCTGTGTGTCCTGGGGCTCGTGGTCGCCGTCTCTGGGCCATGCGTGTCCAGCGTGGGTCCTCACCTGCGGGGGGAGCTCTGAGCGAGGCTGTCCTCGGACCCGCAGAAGGGTCCCCCGCTTCCTGCACTCCTGCGGCCAGAGGGTCGGCGAGGAGAGGGAAGCGTGTGCCCGTGTGTGTGCCCGCCAGGGGCTGTGTGTGCCAGGTGTGTCCGAGAACCGGTGCGTGGCTGCCCGGAGGATCTGTACGTGATGCGCACAGCCCGAGTGCCTTTCCAGCGTGACATGAGCTCAGGGGAGCCGGCTGGGCGAGGCGCGCAGCTCGACCCAGCGCAGCACACGGGAGTGTGCCAGGGGCTACCGCGCCCCGGCCCTGGCCAAGCTGTCCACACGGGCACATGGGCAGGGTGGACGCCCAGCGCCCCCGGTGCCCACACCCTCTGAGCCGGCAGGGCCGGGCTCGGCTGCCAGCGGCTGGAGAGCCAGCTCGGTGTCTCAGGCCGGCTCCCCGGCCCCCCTCCCCTGCCCATCCGTCTCCCGGCGGCCGCAGCCGCCAGCCCGCTATTGAGCGGGAGATGAGAAGGTGTGAAGGATGCGGGGACGCGGGGGACGGGCTGGCAGCGAGATGGATGAGGGGCCGGGGCCAGAGGCGCCTCCGGCAGGACAGGCTGCCGGCGGGAGGGGCTGCGCCAGGAGGGGTGCGCGTGTGTGTGTGTGTGTGTGTGTGTGCCTGGTGCGTGTGTGTGTATGCCCGGTGTGCACATGTGTGTGCCCAGTGTGTGTGCGTGTGTGTATGCCCGGTGTGTGTGTGTGTGTGCGTGCATGTGTGCCTGGTGTATGTGCGGGTGTGTGTGTGTGTGTGTGTGCCCGGTGTGTGTGTGTGTGCCTGGTGTGTGTGCGCGCGTGTGTGTGTGTGTGCCCGGTGTGTGCATGTGTGTACCTGGTGTGTGTGCACGGGGGCGGGCGTGTGAGCGAGTGTCTGTGCACACAGGAGCTTGTGCACGTGTGAACCTGGATGGCGGCAGGTTGGCATCTATGTGCACGCGTGTTATATGGGTTGGCATGTCAGTGTGGTCGTGTTCATGTGTGTGGGTGTTTCCCAACACAGAGGCCAAGGCGTGTATAAGCACACACACAAACATACACACACACGCACACGCCAACAGAGCCCAGGCTGGCCCGCCCCCAGGTCCAGGCTGAAGGGAGCTACCGGGTCCCTCCATCATCACCCTCACCTCCCACTCCGCCCACTGCTTCCTGGTCAGGGTGGTCCTGCCCTGCTCAGCGTGGCCTGGTGCCATGGGCTCGCCATCACAGCACAGAGAACTCCCGCCCACCCTGCCCGCAGCAACCCCAGGGCCGGCTCGGTGAGCCAGGGCAGGCACCGCGCCCCTGCAGGTCCCCTCCGGGCTCGGCGGGCGGGATCGGGGCCTGGGGACCGGGTGCCTGAGCTGACGGGGCGGGGGGCCTGAGGCTCGAGGCTCTGGGAGGGCAGCCCGTCCACGGTTGCTCTGCCAGTCCCACATCCTCAGTGCCAGCCTCTGGAGGAAGGGGGGGGCTGGGACGAGCGTGTCCAGCCCAGCCTGGGTGCTCTGGCCTGGGGGTTCTCCTGGGCTGCTCCCTGCCAGTGGGCACCTGGGGTCCAGCCAGTGCCCCTTCCCGGGCCCCGTGGAAGGGACCAGACGGCCAAACAGCACTCCCACCCGAGAGTAGCCAGCTTCGGGGGCCCACGCCCTCTGCCTTCCTGGCCAGTGACTGTGTCCCCAGAATGCCCAGCAGGGGCCAGCAGGGGGCAGCCTGGAGATGGTACCTGGTCTGGCTGGGAGAAGAGACAGACCGTGGGCAGCGCAGACCGACCCCTCCCCCCCCGCCGCCCCCCTCCCCCCCAGGCCTCACCCCGGTCCAGCCCCCCATCCTGTGGACGGTACAGGCCTCCGCAGCCAGCCCAGGGCCGGCTCCCCGCCCACCCAGGCAGGAGAGATTACACTAAGGTGACCAGACGTTCCGCTTTTGGCGGGACAGTCCCGATTTTTTTTAAAACCGAGACTGTCTTGTCAAAAGCGGGATGTCTGGTCACTTTAGATTATGCACCTCATATGGTTGGGGAAACTGAGGCACAGGGCTCGCCAGGGACCTGCCAGTGCAGCGCAGCTCATTGGGCCAAACCGTGCGGCGCACCAGGCCCCCCCCCGCCCCCCCGGGCTCTGTCTGCAGCACCTGCTCCCGTTTCCTGTCATCTTCCCCGTGGCTCCACCCGGCGGCCCCAGGTCAGGGGTCTGGGTCTCTGCCCTGCAGCCCCGGCAGCGACCGTCACTGCCCTGGCCCCCACCTCCCCGAGGCCCCATGGGCCCAGCCCCTCCAGTCAGCCAGGCCTGGGCCCCCACGGACGCCCAGCTCCTCCTCCAGACAGGCCCCCCCTGTGCTGGCCATTGATCAGGAGTGGTGGGGGCTCCTGGACGGGGAGGGAGGGCGAGGGAGGCTTTGCCACGTCAGAGCCTCCACCTGCCCCCCCGCACCGCGCCGCCCGGGGCGGGACAAGCCTGGCCGGTGGCCTCAGACCGTGCGGCGTGCGGTGGCTCGGAGAAAGGGGTCCTGAGCCGGGGCCCCCCTGCAGAGACCGGATGTAAAACCAGGACCCGGGTGGCTGGGGAGGGAAGACAGTCCTGCCAGGAGACCGGAGACGGAGGGAGCTCCTGGGAGCGGGCCGTGCGCTGAAGGAACCAGGAGACCAGGAGGCGCTGGCCACCCGCCCCGCCCCGGAGGCCAGGCCGGACGGAGCAGGCTGCTCCTGGACACAGGCGTCCGCATGGCAGGTACCGTGTGGGAGCCACGGCAGCCCTGGGCGTTCCGGCTCTGGAGGGGGCGGGGCAGGGGCCAAGGGAACCCCACTGGACCCAGGCCCGGGCAAGAGAGTGAGGCAGGGCACCCCGGGCTGTCCGGGCAGGGCTGATGGACGCCCCGCCATCCAGGTGCGATGATGGGGTCAGAGCCGCTTCTGGGAGGTGAGAGACTCATCAGCATGGGCGCCCTCGGGCCTGTCCCCTCACCCCTCGGCACCAAGGTCAGGGCTGGACAAGAAGCTGGGGTGTGCAGACCGGGCATTCCGCGCCCCCACCCCCCTCCCCAGGCCCCTGGGATACCGGGGCTTCAGCGAGACGCCCCTCTCCAGTGTGGACCCGGCCCCGCCCTCTCACCAGCGGCTTCCCCAGTGCCAGCTGTGGCCAGTTTGCTCTTCAGACGCTCCCTCCACTCACCTGTCTGTCTGTCTGTCCATCCACCCGACACCGAAATTCTACCTCTGCCCACGGGGTCCCCTGGTGTCACCAGACCCTCGGCTCCTCCTGGGCGGCTCTCACTAATCACTTGTGCTTCAGGGTTTGTTTTCCATTTTTCTGTTTTGAACATTTTAATTGTGGGAAATGTACGCAACATTGAAATGGCCGTTTTAAAACGCTCAGTGTAGGGGCAGCCGCCACCGCCATCATCTCCAGAACGCTCTGCGTCTGGTGACGCTAAACTGTCCCCTTAAACCCCCACTTCCCCTTCCCCTCTCCCCCACTTTCTGTTTCCGAATCAGACTTCCCGTGAGTGGACTTGTGCAGTATCTGTCCTTCTGTCTGGCTATTTCACCCAGCATATGTCCTCAACTTCCTTCTTTTTAAAAATATCTCTCTCTATGCTTATTTCAGAGAGAAGGGGAGAGAGAAAGAGATAGAAGCATCGGTGATGAGAGAGAATCCGCAATCGGCTGCCCCCTGCACACCCCGCACTGGGGATCAAACCTGCAACCCAGGCCTGTGCCCCGACCGGGAATCACACCACGACCTCCTGGTTCCTAGGCCCACCCCCCAGCCGGTGCGCCACCCTGGCCGGGCAGAGCCTCCTCTGTAAGGCTGCAGCACGCTGCCTCGTGTCAGGACAGACCACGCTTTGCTTATCCGTTCCTGGCGCCCACGCTGCCTCGGCCTCTGCCCGCTGTGGCCGGTGCTGCCGTGAGCACGGGCGTACCGGGCCCTGTCCAGCCGCTGCTCTGGGTTCTTTCCGGTGTGTGCCAGGAGCAAGGTGGTCGGGCCACGTGGGAATCCTGAGGCTCGTTTTCGGGGAACCACCGTTCCGCTGCCCACGGCGACGGCACCGTCTCACAGTCCCACCGGCCGCGCGCGGGTGCGATGGCCCCGCGCCCTCACCAGCACATCGTTCTGTTGCTGCGATTGCCCTGCTGACCCCCCTCCTCGTGGGCGCGCACAGCCCATCGCTGTAGTCGGGGTGCTTTCTTGTTTGACCAGGAGGGTGGAGGGTGACACGGCTTTTGGCCAAGGCTGGTGCCAGGACTGCAGATGCGAAGGCAGGATCTTGGGGGAAGTGAGGGGCCGGGCAGACAGCCGGCTCCCGGGGCGGGGTCCGGGCGGGGTTTCCGGGTGGGAGGCGGTAAGAGCAGCTGGTGGTAATGGGGGGGTCTCCGGAGTGCGCTTCTCTACGGAGACCCCGCTGCCTCGTGAGCTGAGGGGTCTGAGGGGTCCCGCGGAGCTGAGAAAGACCCCCGCACCCGGCTCAGGCGTCCCGTCACCCATAAAGCGTGTCGCTATGAAGGCTAACTGTGTGCCAGGCCCCGCAGGTGCCTCCCAGCCCTCCAGCAGCCAGGACGCAGGCACGGCGAGGCCCTGGGGGTGGCGGTGGAAGCGGAGGCTCAGGGAAGGGAGGCAATTTCCCCGCGGCCACCGGACGGCTCAGAGGTCCCCGGGAGCCAGCCAGGCCTGGTCTCCGGCCTCCGGGAGCATTTAATTAATTTATTTATTTTTAAATTTTTCTTTATTGATGAAGGAATTACATGTGTGTCCTTATTCCCCCGTTGCCCCTCGCTCCCCCCCGTGTCTGTGTCCACTGGTTAGGCTTGTATGCATGCACACAAGTCCTTCGGCTGATCTCTCTCCCTTACCCCCACCTTCCCCTGCCTTCCCTCTGAGGTTTGATGGTCTGATCAATAAGTGAGCATTTGTGTACCCTACGAGGTGAAGCTGAGTCACGTTACCTGTGGGAACACCCAGACCTGGCAGTCAAGGAGGACTTCCTGGAGAAGGAGGCACCTACATGCAGCCTGGAGGCTGAGGGCCGGCTGGGTGGAGCGGGGGCGAGCAGGGTCCACGTTCTGTCCTCTCTCCCCAGCCTTCCTCTCCGCGGGCCTCGGGGTACTGGCAGCTTCAGAGACCTGCCCCCTGCCCGCGAGCAGCTCCGGCTGGGAGCCCCGGCTGGCTCCCCCGTTCCCGCCCGGCCTCCCCGCCGGCTCCGCGGGGGCCCGGGCCATGGCGGAGCCCCCCGGGCAGGGCCCCAAGAACCCGCACGTGTCCGGCGTGACGGTGCAGCTGGAGATGAAGGCTCTGTGGGAGGAGTTCAACCAGCTGGGCACAGAGATGATCGTCACCAAGGCGGGCAGGTGTGCGGGGCGGTGGGGGGCGCGGGGGGCGCGGGGGGCCGGGCGGGGCCGCACTCAGGCGGCGGCACCCCCTCCCCAGGAGGATGTTTCCCACCTTCCAGGTGAAGATCCTGGGCATGGACGCGCTGGCCGACTATGCGCTGCTCATGGACTTCGTGCCCCTGGACGACAAGAGATACAGGTGCGGCCGCGGGGAGCGGCTCCGTCCGCGGTGCTGAGACGGGGCGTCGACCCTCGCTGCACCGATCGGGCAGCACCAGGGAGGCCAGTCCTGGGGCACCAGCAGGGAGTGTGGGGGCAGGGGCACCAGTCCGGCAGCTGGCGGTGGGCAGTGGGCACCAGCCTGGCAGCCAGCGGTGGGCAGTGGGCACTAGCCTGGCAGCCGGCGGTGGGCAGTGGGCACCAGCCTGGCAGCCGGCGGTGGGCAGTAGGCACCAGCCTGGTAGCCAGCGGTGGGCAGTGGGCACCAGCCTGGCAGCCGGCGGTGGGCAGTAGGCACCAGCCTGGCAGCCAGCGGTGGGCAGTGGGCAGAGGCACCAGCCTGGCAGCCGGTGGTGGGCAGTGGGCAGAGGCACCAGCCTGGCAGCCAGCGGTGGGCAGTGGGCAGTGGGCAGAGGCACCAGCCTGGCAGCCGGTGGTGGGCAGTGGGCAGAGGCACCAGCCTGGCAGCCAGCGGTGGGCAGTGGGCAGTGGGCAGAGGCACCAGCCTGGCAGCCAGCGGTGGGCAGTGGGCAGTGGGCAGAGGCACCAGCCTGGCAGCCGGTGGTGGGCAGTGGGCAGAGGCACCAGCTTGGCAGCCAGCGGTGGGCAGTGGGCAGAGGCACCAGCCTGGCAGCCGGCGCGGGCGGTGGGCAGTGGGCACCAGCTGGGACAGGCACAGAGGGCGAGCCCAGGACGGCGGGTGGAGCCTCAGGAAGCTCTCAGAGCTGCCGCTTCCCCCTGGCAGAGGGGCAGTGTGTGGGCACCTGGAGGCTCCAACAGCCCCGTGGCCGCCAGGGGCGGCGGGTGAGGGCGCTGTGCGATGCGGACGGGCACCCGCACCACTCGCTCTGCCCCCAGGTACGCCTTCCACAGCTCGGCCTGGCTGGTGGCGGGCAAGGCGGACCCGGCCACGCCCGGCCGCGTGCACTTCCACCCCGACTCGCCGGCCAAGGGCGCGCAGTGGATGCGCCAGATTGTGTCCTTCGACAAGCTCAAGCTCACCAACAACCTGCTGGACGACAACGGCCACGTGAGCCGGCCGTGGCCGTGGGGGCGGGCCGGCCTCGGGGCCTGATAGTGACCGAGGGGCGGGTGGAGGCAGGGAGACCCGCCGGGAGGCCGCTGAGGAGACCCGGGTGCGACCGGAGGCCAGATGGGTGGAGGCCCCGGGGCGGGCGAGGCGGTCAGACGTGGACAGGGCTGAAGGCGGGCGGGCAGCGCCCTGTGGGTGTGAGAGAAAGCACAGCAGCGAGGATGCCCCGCCGAGGAGAGCGGCCGCCAGCCGGGCACTCCCGCAGCCTCAGTGACAGCTGCCCCCTCCCGTCCCCCCCCAGATCATCCTCAGCTCCATGCACCGCTACCAGCCGCGCTTCCACGTGGTCTTTGTGGACCCGCGCAGGGACAGCGAGCGCTACGCCCACGAGAACTTCAAGTCCTTCGTCTTCGCCGAGACCCAGTTCACGGCCGTGACGGCCTACCAGAACCACCGGGTGCGTCGGCCACAGCCCCTGGGGCACCGCTGGCCCGTTTCACGGGCCGGAGACTGAGGCCCCCTCTCCCAGCCGCCACGGCACGCACACCAGCCCTCTCTCCGCCCTGGGGCTCCGAGCACCCGCCGGGCATTCCCCGCCCTCACACCCGCTGTGGGGGCCAGGGGGGTGAGGATGGGTGAGCCCGGTGCCCCACAGCCTCTCCCAGTTCAGGGCTGACCCTTCCCGCACTCTCTTCTCCGCAGATCACGCAGCTGAAGATCGCCAGCAACCCTTTCGCCAAGGGCTTTAGAGAGAGTGACCCAGACTCATGGTACTGACCGACTCCTGCCAGGCCTGCCCGCTGCCCTGGCCCAGCCCCTCGCCCCGCCCCCAGGCACCTGCTGGGGCTGGCTCCTTAGGAGGCCACGCCCACTGACGGGTCCTGGGGTCTCATTGGCTGACTCGGAACCAGATCCTTGGCATGACCCCTGCCCATCCCTGCTGCCCCCCTGCCCCACCCCTGCCTGCCCCCTGCCCACCCTGCCTGCCCCCTGCCCACCCTGCCTGCCCCCCTGCCCTACCCCTGCCTGCCCCCTCCGCCTGCCCCCTGCCCCCCCGCCTGCCCCCTGCTCCCCCCGCCTGCCCCCTGCCCCCCCCCGCCTGCCCCCTGCCCACCCCTGCCTGCCCTCCAGGACCGCGTCTGCACAGCCCCTGCTTGGCGTCCCCGCCCGGAGCCGCAGCGGCCTTGGCCCCTGCCCCCTGACAGGCTCCACGGAGCAGGAGAGAGGTTAGACCCGGCGGGACCAGAGCCAGCACGGGGGGTGAGAAGCCAGGGCCAGCACCCAGGGCTCCAAAAAGAGGCTCCAGCACACAGCAAGCCGCTGGGCACCTGTGAGGGCAGAGGGGAAGCAGAGATTTCTCAGGCGATGTGGGGCCCAAGGCAGAGAGACAGGGTAGGGACACGTTTCTGGGGGAAGGGGGCGCGAACAGGTGAACTTCCTGGGGAGGTGGTTCCCACGCTGGGCCTGGCAGGACTGGGAGGGAGAAAGTGAGGGAGAAATTCCAGGCAGAGGCAAAGCGAGAGCCAAGGCTGAGGCGGGCAGCGTGAGGTGGGAGACGCGGAGGAGGCAGGAGTGGACGTGAGGGGAGGACTGGGCTCACTCAGCCCACTTCCTCCCTCAGATTCCAGCAAAGCTCCAGCTCTCGCCGCCAGGACCCCCGCTCAGCTCCACCCCCCGCTGCTGGCCACCCCGGAGGCTCTGCTGGCCCCTGCCGCCCACCGGGCTCTCGCCTACCAGGACCTGTACCCCGGAGCCTCAAGCTCTCTGGGGATCCCAAGGGCCCGGCCCACACCGTATCCCCTCCCCAGCATCCAGGCTGGCAGGGATGAGGGGGGCCTGCGCCTCCAAGCTGGGCTGGGGCTCCTGTCCCCCACTGCCACGTGCCTGAGGTCCCACCAGGACCCTCAGTGACGATGGGTACCCCGTGGGCAGAGTCCTCTGACCCTGGACCCCACGCCCTCCAGCCTCACCTCTGCAGAGACCCCTCCCTTCCCGAGGGGAGCAGTGAGCACAGAAGCCCAGGGGGGAGGCTGGGATAGTGCCAGGCTTGGAACTAGGCCTCCTACCCCCAACCTGTGCCCTTCTGCAACCTCTGCCCCCTCTCCCTCCCCACACATTAAACCGTTTGGCACGGTGGTCAGAGCCCGTCTGTCCGCAGGGCTGAGGCGGGAGGGCTCAGGGACCCTCCAAGGCCGGAGCCTGGGCTGCAGGCACCCAGAGTTCTCCCGGCCCTGGCGCAGGGCTGGGTGGGAGGTGAGTTCTGCTCCCTGCCCGTGTGCCCGGATGAGGCTGCACTGCAGCTCAGACAGGTTCTCGCTCAAAGTCAAGGTTTGAGGACACGTGCCGCTCAACGTCCCGGTGCTGGGCGTGGGTGGGGTCTGGCCGAGGTTCCAGAACCACAGCAGGCAATGACCGCAGGGGCCAAGGTGGGTGGGGGAGGGATTTGAGAATCTGATCAGGACTGACGCGGGGCAGCGTCTGGAGAAAGCCACCTTTGAACCAGCACCCAGAGGAGCGGAAAGGAGAGGGGAGGGGCCTGGAATGGGGAAGGCGGGCGGGTGGGTCCCCAGGAGCCGAGGGCGGCGCGGCCCTGATATCCTAGGGCGCCCCGTGAACCCTAACGCCGACTCCGCCCGTCTTGGAGCCGTTGCTGTCAGGCCCTCGGAGGGGAACGGACACAGGGGCGCAGGGCGGGGAGCCGGCGGGGCCTCAGCAGCAAGGCACCCCGATTCCTGAGCTCCGGGTCCGAAGGGCTGAGTTCGGTCCCCGGGCCGAGCACCACCGAAGGTGGAGGACACAGGAGCCTGACATGCAGCCCAGCGCCGCCCCGCCCCGCCGCCTCCGCGGGCAGCGAGGACACCGGCCCCGCCCCTTCCGGCCCGCCCCTTACACCGGTCTCGCCTTTTCCGGCCCGCCCGGCTTTCTCTTTAGAGCCCGCCCCTTGCGATGCCACGCCCATAGATGACACGCCTCTTCCATTAAGCCACGCCCCTTCCGGGCCCGTCCCCGTTTCCCCTTCTGGAGTCTGCCCTTTGCAAGACGACGCCCCTTACCAGGCCACGCCCTTTACCAGGCCACGCCTCTTACACAGGCCACGCCCCTTATGGACCTGCCCCCGCTTCCCCTCTTGGAGGCCGCCCTTGGTAGGCCACGCCCCCATATGGGTCACGCCCTGCACAGGCCACGCCCCTTGAACAGGCCACGCCTCTAAACCGCCTGGGCAACTTCGGAGCCCGCAGGCCCGGCCGGGGCGGGGCGGGGCGGGGCGTCCGGCCACTCCAGCGCCGCCCCCGGGTCCCTGAGCACCGCCCCCCGGGCCCCTGAGCACCGCCCCCCGGGCCCCTGAGCGCCGCCCCCGGGTCCCTGAGCGCCGCCCCCGGGCCCCTGAGCGCCGCCCCCGGGTCCCTGAGCGCCGCCCCCCGGGTCCCTGAGCACCGCCCCCGGGCCCCTGAGCGCCGCCCCCCGGTCCCTGAGCGCCGCCCCCCGGCCCCTGAGCGCCGCCCCCCGGCAGGAGCGGCGGCGCGGGCCGGACATGCTGCCCGACTGCCTGTCGGCGGAGGGCGAGCGGCGCTGCCGGCAGCTGCTGGCCGCGGCCACGGCCCGGCTCCGCGCGCGGCCCGCGGCGGCCGCGGTGCTGGTGCCGCTGTGCTCGGTGCGCGGGGCCCCGGCGCTGCTCTACACGCTGCGGTCCAGCCGCCTGGCCGGGAGGCACAAGGGCGACGTCAGGTACCGGCCGGCCCTCCGCTCCGCTCCGCTGGCAGGCCGCCCCCCGGGGACGCTGGGCCCCCGCCTCGGTCTCCGCCTCCGGAGGACGGGCTGCGGGAGCCCGGGCCGGCGCCGCGGGGCCCCCTGAAGGCGCCCACAGCACCTCCAGCCTGGGACACCCGCGGGGCTGTGCCCCCTCTGAAAGGGGCGCCCTCCGGCCTCTGCGGGGAGATGGGGTCCCAGAGCCTGGGAAGCCGGGGCGGGGAATCGGGGACCCCCGGGGTCAGCGCCGGGGCCACCGCAGACCGAGTTTGCACGTCTGAGTCCGGGGCCTCTCCCTCACGCCATGGCTCAGGGAGGCCCGGAGCCCAGAGGCCGGTGGCTTCCGGAGCCTCGCTGGGAACTCAGGCGGGAGCTTGGGGGTCCCTGGCCCCCCACCTCACCGCCTGGGCCTGTCAGCTTCCCAGGTGGCAAGTGTGACCCGGGGGACCGGGATGTGGTGCACACGGCCCTGAGGGAGACCCAGGAGGAGCTGGGCCTGGCGGTGCCCGAGGACCACGTGTGGGGTGTCCTGCAGCCCGTGTATGACCAGGTGAGCCCGCCAGGCTCCCAGGCCATCCCGTTCGCCCACTCTGCCTGCCCCGGGCGAGCCACGGGGCCCCGGGACAGGAGCAGGTCATGGGCTCCAGCCGGGGTGGAGCGCAGGGCACCGGCCCCTGCCTGTCCCTCCTCGTCCGCCCCCCACAACCCACCGGGGCTGTTGTACCCTCTTCTCGCAGGGATAGATGCGGGGGCTCAGGCTCCGGGGGAAGCGGCTTGGGGATGAGCCCGTTTGGGGATGAGGGTTGGGAAGACCCCACAGGGCAGTTTTCGGGTCGTAGAAGGGAAGGTTTTCTAAGTGGAGGGAGTAGTCTGCGAAGGCCCAGAGGCTGAATGGGCATGGCTGGAGGGAGCCCCCGCAGGACGGCCAGGGGGACCGGCCTTGGCCGCTCCAGGCCTCCGGATGGCGAGGGTGGGGTGTTCCTCAGCCCCCCTCTCCAGCCCAAAGGCCTGCCACAGCCATGCCTCCCTTGACCGCCTGCCTTCCTGGCCCAGGCACAGAACACCGTGGTGCCGGTGCTTGCCGGTGTGGGCCCACTGGATCCCCAGAACCTCCAGGCCAACCCCGAGGAGGTGAGCAGGGCCGGGCGCCGGACCGGGCTGTCCCGGGGGGTGGGGGCCCGGGGGGGCCGCCATGGCCGGCCCTCTGTCCGCCCCTCCTGTCCGCAGGTGGAGGAGGTGTTCGCGCTGCCCCTGGCCCACCTGCTGCAGGCGCAGCACCAGGGCTACACCCACTTCTGCAAGGGCGGCCACTTCCGCTACACAATGCCCGTCTTCCTCCACGGCCCCCACCGCGTGTGGGGGCTCACCGCCGTCATCACCGAGTTCGCCCTGCAGGTCCTGGCGCCCGGCGCCTACCAGCCCCGCCTGGAGATCCCCCGGGCGTGGCGGCTCCGGGGCTGAAGGCTGGTCCTCGGCAGCCCCGCCTCGGGACTGAATAAAGAGCCTTTACCGACTCTGGCGACTGCATCTTCTGCGCCAGGGCCAACCTCGAGCAGACCCCATGGGACAGCGGGGCTCCCGGCTGGGGCACCCTGTCTGAGCACACTGTCACCCCCGCGGGGGCACGTACCCTGCACCAGGTACTTGGCATCATTGCTCTTGTTTCACCCTCGCCTCGGCCCCGTGAGGTGGGGCCGACGCTGTCCCTGGCTGGTGAGACTGGGCTCCGAGAGGACAGACGCCTTGACCACGCTGGGGTTTGAACCAGGCCCTCTCGGACCCGAGCCCAGCCCTCAGCCACGTGTGCTCCTTCCGCCGTGCCTGGCGGACCCCGTGCTGGGCCGCGGGAGTCTGGAGGAGCCCCGCCCGTGACTGATGAGCGCCCACCACGCTCCAGCTGCTGGGCGGGGCCGCATCTGGGGACCAGCAGGTGTCCTGGCCCCTGGGGTTGGGAGGGGCTCAGACTAGGGGAGGCCTTAGACCAGATGCTTCTGTGGTTGTACATTCAACGATCACGTGTAAATCACAGGGAAGCTCTGCAGTGTTCTGTGAGAGTTGAGGGGGTCAGTTGGACTTTGGCAGGTGGACTGGGCAGTATTAGCCAGGACAAGGGATGGGGAACGCCACCCACTGGCTGGAACGGTGATTGTGAATGCAGAGTTCACGTAGCTTCAGGCATGTGAAGCTACGCTCTCTCCGGCTGGCCTCGTCCCCAGGAGCCGTCTCCACCCCACGGAGAGGGAGGAGAGGGCCACAGCTCTAGGTGGCCCAGTGTTCCACCCACAGAAGGGAGAGCTGCTCGGCCAGGGTGACCCGGAAGCGCCTGCCTGGCCTGCTGGGCCAGAGGCCCTTCCCGAGCCTGCCGTGCGGCTGCTGGGTTTGGAGTCGTTGACTGGCAGGGTCTGGGGCACAGCCCTGGAGAGGAGGGTGGGTCCCCAGGCTGGGAATAGGGAGGGGGCGGCCCCCAAAGGACCGCTGGGAAGGGGGATGCCGAGCAGGTGAAAGCCAGCCGAGTTCCCTGCAGAGTGACCTTGAAACCGAAGGCAGGAGTGAGCCGGGCCGGAGGGCGGGGCAGCAGCCGCCGGGCACAGAACGGGTGTTCACGGAAACCGTGAAGAGGAACGTGGAGATGGGGGGGGGGCGGGTGCCAGGGCCATGCCTCAGTGACGGGCTAGGACTTTCTCCCAAGCCCGTAAAGGAGAGGAGTGGATGTGATCTGAGCCATGTGCCAAAAGCTTGAGCTGCAAGGGACCAGATGCCCTCCTCCCCAAGTGCCCCCTCCTTCCCGGGGAACCCCCCCATTCCACATAAGCCCTCCCCTCCCCTCCCCTTACACCCCTCCACGCCCTCCAAAGTCCCCACCCTGCCCTTCCTCCACACCTCCCCACATGCTCCCTCCTCCTGCACCCCTTCCCTCTCACCTGCCCTTCATCCCCACACACCCCTCCCATCGCCCTCACCCCTGGCACCCGGGCACCCCGCCTCGGAGCAGGTGCCATGATGGGGTAAAAATAACCGCAGCCTGTGAACGGGGGGAGGGGCTGGCCAGGGCGGAGGGAGGCGGCGCCCCCTTGCCCCGTGCTAAGGGGCCTCGGAGTCAGGGCAGGGGAGTGCCCTCTCCGAGCCCGGAGTGGGCTCTGAGCCCCGCCCTCCCCCTCCCTCGTGGGCACCAGGAGGCCCGGTCACACCCATGAGTCACCGCAGTCAGGTGCACACCCAGTGCCGGCAGCGGGCAGAGCCGGGCGGCGGAGCTCAGAGCGGTAAGGAGCCCAGCAGCCGGGTCCCCCTCCAGGCTGGAGCCACCCCCTTCCCCACCCACCCACCCTGCCCTCTGTCCTCAGGTCCTCCTCAGCACCCACAGCGATGCCGCCTCACCATGCCCCGGCCAGTGTGCTCCCCCACCATCCAGTCCAGGGGGGCTTGTCTGAGCCCCCATGACAGGCACGGAGGCGGCGGGCACGGAGGTGACAGGCACAGAGGCGGCGGGCACGGAGGCGGCGGGCACAGAGGCGGCGGGCACAGGCGGCAGGCACGGAGGCGGCGGGCACGGAGGCAGCGGGCACGGAGGCGGCGGGCACAGGCGGCAGGCACGGAGGCGGCAGGCACGGAGGCGGCGGGCACGGAGGCGGCGGGCACGGAGGCGACGGGCACGGAGGCGGCAGGCACGGAGGCGGCAGGCACGGAGGCGGCGGGCACAGGCGGCGGGCACGGAGGCGGCGGCCGCCGCGGGTGAGCATGCAGGAGCACATGGCCATCGACGTGAACCCGGGGCCCACCCGGCCCATCCACCTCATCTCCGACTCCTTCCCGCATTTCCACCCCTTCGCCGGGCCTGCCCTGCGCGCCCCAGACCCGCACCCCGCAGTGTCCCCCGCCATCTGCTCTGCACCCCAGCCGCCGCCAGACCCGGAGCCGGAGGGAGACTCGGACGACAGCAGTGAGTGGGGCGGGGGGTGAGGGCACCCTGGGCCCGGCCCAGCCAGGATGGGGTCTGGGAATCCGGACATCTGGCCTGTGCGGGGCAGGGCAGGAGGCACGGTGCCACGGGGGCAGGTGCAAGAGGAACTGACCCGCGTGCCACCTCCCCCAGCCGCCCGGCACCCTCAGTTCACCCTCCTCTTTGATGCGGACACAGCGCCTGCACTGCATGGCTCACCGTGCCAAGGTAGGGCTGGGCGGGCTGAGCCGTGGGCCTGGGCCTCAGCCTGACCCACATCTACCGCTCCCCCCAGGGCCTCAAGCCACCAGCCTCAGGCTCCCTGGACACCTACGTCAAAGCCAACCTGCTGCCAGGGGCCAGCAAGGTGAAGGCAGACCCGGCTCCTACTGCTGCCCTCGGCCCTCCCCCAGCCTGGGGCACCCGCCCGCCCGGCCCTCAGGCCCGAGCTCCCTCTGCAGCTGCACCCCGGGGTCCTGGGAGGGCGGCGGCCTGGGTGGGCCGGGGCCGAGGCGCCCTGACCCCGGCCGGCCCCGGGCCAGCCAGCTGGGGACGCGCACAGTGCGGGGCGCGCGGGGCCGGCCTGGGAGAACACGCTCACGTATCACGGCTTCACCTGCCAGGACGCCGGGCGCAAGGCGCTGCGGTGCGGCCGGGGCCCGGGCCACGGGGAGCGGGCCTCCAGGCTGTGTGTGTGTGAGGACCCCGGCTGCGGCCACGGCGCCGGGTGCCCCCCCCGGGGGAGCTGCGGGTGCCCCCCCTGGGGGAGCTGGTGTCCAGCCGAGCCCGGAGCGTCAGCCTGTGTCTGAGAAGCAGAGGCCAGTGAGGCGGGTGGCACACAGGGTGGGCTTTGGGGTCCAGCGGTCCTGTGCTGGGGAGCTGGGGAGGGGAAGGGCGGGACGAAACAAGGTGACCAGCTCTCTGCTCTTTCAGACCAAGAGGCCGGAGCGCCTGGACACGTCCCGTGGCATGTCCCTGTGCGCGGTGCGTAGGACACGTGTCCCTGTACACTGTGCGTAGGACGGTGGCCCTGAGCAGGCTGTGCAGGGGACAGGCCTGGGTGCTCGGGCATGAGGCAGGTGTGAGGTGGGCTGGGAGGAACTGAGGCTCGGAGCCTGGGAACAGCAGGGATAGGCACTGGGGAGGGGGTGCAGAGACCCAGGCCCCTGGAGGCAGATGCTGAAACTGATGGGACTTGTGTGGCCGGAGCAGCTGGGAGGGCAGGTGAGAATGGACAAGGTGGGGCTCCCTGGCTGCTCCCGGGGTCAGTGTGGGTGCCACTCCTGGGGCTGGCACCCCGAGACCAGCGCTTGTCAGGAGGCAGTGACAGTAACTGGAGGGGCCCCAGGGGAGACCAGACTAGACCGAGGCAGGACTGGCCCAGGCCCCTCTGATGGAAGCCCAGTGCTGCTGCCCTGCCCCCTAGTGGAGCCGCAAGGTACTGCAGCTGGTGCCTAAACAAGGCCAGGCAATGCCACCTCCGTGGGGCTGGTAACCTGTACCACGCACTGCCTGTCCCGCTCACTGCAGTGCGGGGTGCGAGCAGGTGCCCCCGGGACTCTCCCACAGGAAGAGCTAAATGCTGGCACGGCGGCTGGACTTCCTGCAAATCGAATCCTAGGTTACGTTTGGGAGAAACGTCCTTCCCGGCCTCCCCCGGGGCTCCTCTTGGAAGCACCAGGGCGAGTGTGGCAAAAGGCGTGCAGCGTCTGGTCCCAGGACCCGGGGGGGGGGGGGGGCTGCGCGGCTCCCGAGACGCGGCTTTCCCAGTGGGAGGGTGGTGGGCGCACTGGGAGGCCATCACACGTGCCCGGCCTGTCTGGCTCTCAGCCTCAGTTCCCCTCCTCTCCACGGCAAACATGTGACCTGCCGGTGGCGAGGCCTGAGCAAGCCCCTCCCCTTCTTAGCTTCTGGAGGGTACAGCTGCCCGGGCAATTGCCTTCCTGGCACCAGGCCCACGAGTTGTGAAATTGAACCGTGAAGTTAGACCACTGGCCCCAGTCTGAGCTGCACCCTGGCTGACACTGGCGGGCGGGGGGGGGGCTGTGGCGCAGGGCTGACCCGCCCGCCCTGCAGGAGGTGGCCGGGGAAGAGCGCGGGCGCATCCTGCTGTCCCTGTGCTACAGCTCCGAGCGGGGCGGCCTGCTGGTCGGGGTGCTGTGGTGTGCCCACCTGGCCCCCATGGACACCAACGGCTACTCGGACCCCTTCGTCCGCCTGTGAGTGTGACAGGTGGACGGGCTGGGGCTCCTCTCTCCAGAGTCCCCCTCACCCGACCCGTCCCCCCAACCAGGTTCCTGCACCCCAGTGTGGGAAGAAAACCAATACAAGACCAGCGTTGGAAAGAAGACCCTGAACCCCGAATTCAGTGAGGTAGGCCTGGGCTGGGGGGGGGGGGGAGGGGGGCGCAGCACCCGCCTCAGTGAGAACACAGGTCCGCTGGCCTGAGCCCCTCGCCGCCTGAGCCTGTTTCTGAGGCCAGGAGGGACCCGAGCGCCTTCTTCCTCTCTTCCCGGCAGGAGTT